GATAGACGGAATTTAATTTGCCAACCAGAGCACGCCTTCAACGCTATCCACTGTTTTACTTTGTACTTAAAAAAAAACATTATCCCCTGCCTCTCTCGCTAAGTTTGGGTCTTTCCCTAGCTAGAGTCGTATGGTCTTCTGTTCGTATATCTTGGGGATGAGGAACAGGTTAAAACGTTATCCCTGAGTACATGGAGTGATGCACTTAGGCCAAAATGGCCGGACGCCATAATTTTGACGATAATGATAAAAAATAATGATAATAATAATAACGATAATTTGATAAGAAGTAATGTTAATAGTAATCAATAACAAGTAATGTTTTTATGTGCGCATTTGAGCTCTCAATGGGCTTACATTTATAAAATTAATCCGCAACACAAAACAGTTAAAACACTAAATAACTAGAACCAAATAAAACCATTCTCATTGTTTAACGAAAATGTATTCGAAATAAAAACGTTTCTAGGACAGCTTTGAAGGACGAACCAAAGAAGAACTTATTAAGAGAATTGTGGAGAGTATTCCTTAATGTAAGTGCATACAAGGAAAACACGCGTTAAGCGTATGTTACAGCGTTTGTGGTAGGAATAGTAAGAAGTGATAGAGAGGATGAACCTAAAGTTCGTAGTGGATGGTATTCCTGTAGAAGAGTCGATAAATAGGTCAGAGAAAGCCCATGAAGAGTCTTGAAAGTAATAAGAAGAACTTTGAATTTTGCCTCAAGTGGTAACCAGTAAAGCTTTAGAACATAACATAACATAAACTTTATTTCATCTCGAATTTTAGAGTAGCTTGTTGCATGGACCGAATATCTTCGAGAAAGCATAAAATGGAGATTACCTATATGTATTCATACATATATGTGTACAAGATCTAAAAGACTAACTATACAAAAATATACTAAAATACAGTATTTAGAAATATAATTATGTAACATATTGGTAGAAATTAAAAGAAAAGTGAAGATAAGCGGGAGCGACTATACAAAGATACGGCCTTGAATTATCTTTCTAAAGTCTTTAAATGCATTCATGCGGATATAGTTAGGCAGTTTATTCCATAGCCTAGCTGAGAAGTATGAAAATGAATTAAGGCCATAACTAGTTGTTCTAGGTTTTCTAAGTGACAGTATGTAATTACCGCGAAGATTATAAGAAGAGGATCGAAGTGAGAACATACCTCTCATATAAGCTGGAAAATGAGTGAAAAACAGGCTCTTGAACAATAAAATAAGGAAATTCTGGATACGCCCATTACATAAGGAACTTGTATTGACCTTAGTCAGAAGGCTATCATATGGCGACAAGTAATCCCTAAGTATAAATCTAAGTATTCTTAGAAGGGCTGGTGTGATGCGTTCATGTTGTTTAATTCTAGTAATAAGGCGTGCGGCAGTGTTTTGAGTTCTTAGTGGAGGATACTGTTACAATAGTATAGAAGGAACATTGTCAATGTGGTTCTTCCTTACTTTCCTCTCGCCATGCGAAGTTCAATCGACAGAAAGATGATTTGAAGTCTTTTTGGGGGTGGGGGAAGGGCTAAAAGATTTTTGTTGTGTCGCGATAAAATTTATCTGAGCTCCTCCAAGGCTCTCTAATGTTCTTATTGTAACACCCTGGTCTACCGTTGTCCTGGATATCATTTTAAAAAGCTACCGTTTGTTCAAGGACTGTATCTTATTTCTCATTATTGCTCTTTTGATCGGCTGACTCGATGTAACAAAATGTTGTTTTCTATTCAATAATCGCTTTATTATCATCTAGTTATCATCAATAGTTTAAAAATAATTTAATGGTAAATAGCTAAGCTATTAGTTGACTGCCCATTTAACCACTTCCACGCGGCATCCCTGAGATATATCAACATGAGCCAAGGTCTCTAACGCCCGATGCAAGGTTATGGAAGCAATCACTGAAATTTTGACGTAAATATTGTCAACAGGAAGAGCGTTGTTCATTTTTATAGCTTGATTTCTTTCGCCATCGCTGACGCTGCAAGGAAACTGGAGCAGCTTCTCGATTTTAATTGGCTGCTTTCATCGTACGATCTTTTTACTCTCACTTTTCATTGGTTTATTTCAACGAGCCAAAGTATATTTCAGCTTATTAAATTCTCCATTTATGCGCCGTAATACCCGACAAAAAGTGACTCTTAGCCCTTTACATCCTTACCCCCACCCCACCCACAATTCACCACCCCACCTATCACTCTCGTTATAGACTTCCTAATCGTCACAAGGTGAGTCATTGGAAATCTTTGCGACTACTAAAAGGTATATTATAGATAATATAACACATTTTATATATATATTAAATGTTTTTCATTCTTAATGCCTTTATGCTTAAAACTGCTGGGTCGAGCTTACTATTCCAGATTCTACAGCCTGGGCTACTGCCGATAGTCCTTTCCATTCCAGATATTGTCAGGTAAATGAGGTTCTACCAATCACGGCCACTTTCTAAATTGTTGTCGTTTTCCATCAACCTATCAAGTGTCGCGTTAGTTTATTGTCTAATTGGCGAAATTACTTCCGTGCTAGCGTTCGTAGGGAGTGAAATATTCTTGGGCAAGCGATATATGGCCATCAAAAACGATTCTAACAAAATTTTTCATTTGAAATTTATCTATGTATGGATTTTGGTGCTACCTCAACTCACAGGTGACGTGTTATTCTAAAGTTTCTCGTGTTTTTACTCCGTAATTTTTAATCGTGAACTCGCTCAGGCGCTATATATGCTTTTAGCTATCAAATTTTAGTTTGAGCGTGAATTACATAGGGAAACCTACAAACTAGTCTATGAGACGTTGCATAATTAATCGTAGAGAATCTGCATTTGTTGGTTAAGGTAAATTATGTGAACATCTGTTTGTTTTCACGGCGGTTTAAGATATTTTCCGAACAGCAGATGGCGGAAGTGTTACATGGTATGAACCTACCCCGGTCATGACAACATCGCATCCAACTGAAGTGCTCCCCCCAGGCATTGTACAGGTTTATGAGGGATCTCCTGTCACACTTAACTGGAACTACAGTCTGACGACAGGTTTTATTGCAGCTTTTATACGATTTAACGGTGCTGGTATTGTCAGCATTTCCTCGGCTGGACAAGCTGGTGCTGTTAGTAGTTATTTTCAGCAACGATTTAACGCAAGCTCGACTCTTGGAAGAATCTCTCTGTTCAATGGGCTTACATTTATAAAATTAATCCGCATGCTTTTTGTGGAAGGAGGAAAACCCTCGGAGCAGGAGCGAGAGTCAAAAACAAACTTAACCCACATGTGACGCCAGGTGCTGCTGAAAGCGAACGTGGACCCCAGCGACGAGGGGCGACCGCTCTCACCTGAGTGCACCATCCTCGCTCCTTATTCTAAAGTGGGAATCGAAATCTCATGTTATTGGGTAATCGTGGCCATCAATGATAAAAACGGTTGGTGTGTAGATAAAGTGTCGTGAAACGGTAGAGCGGAGGATTTCCAAAATTCAGTTTGCGGTCATATATCTGTCATAATTATGTTGTTCTACTCATTTTTCCAGGGACTATTGTTGGTGCAGCACTTGGATACGGTTGCGGCACTTTCTATTGCTGTGGGAATATTTATATTTTTTGTATGGAGATCAAGAAGTCGACGAAACAATAAATCGAATGGTAAGTGTTGTATTACTGAGAACTTTGCGCCTAGGTAATGTGTTTTAGCATTACACAACTAAGGGTTGAGTTGTATGTATTTTTACCTAGCTCTATTTAAACACAAGTGAGGTTTCAAGATTTTTAGACAGTTTTACAGTATGCAAACCGGAGGCTCTGGGCGTTTTGGCGTTGAGTTGGCCAGGAAAACACGATAAAAGCCCTCTTTTGCTTATAGAGTTGTACGTGCCTGTAATTTGCGCGAGTCTAAAGCATGAAAACAGTGATTACATGCTCTTATCTAAACATGTCTCTAATTTTTTCACGATTTTGATTATCGCTTCTGGCTTGCTGCAGAACACTTTTCCTTTCTAAATTGTCCATGTACAAATAAATGTCAGAGGACCTAGTATTGCCTTTGCATTCATTTCTTCCTCTGGTTTTATTTCTATCCTGCTTTATAATTACACTATTTTATGTTTTTTTTTTTTGTAGTTTTAGGAAAAGCAAAAAGAGATCATAGGTAAGTTTTTGGAGCGATAAATTATCGTCCATTTGTATGGTCTCTTTACGTCTTGTTTTTGGTACTAGTTACAAACTGTTTCCAACGGAGCATTCCTCTAATTATTTTTCGCCTGAAACACAGTAATTACATTCAGAGCAGGGCCTCCTCCAAATTCTCGATTTTTCCAGAGCACCTTTAACGTAATGACTATTGAACCACCTCCCACCTTCCCCCCTCTACACACACACACGCACACACACGCACGCACACACAGACACACACACACACACACACACACAAACAGACACAGACACACACTCACACACACACACACTCACACACTCACACACACACACAAACACTCACACACTCACACACACTCACACACTCACACACTCACACACTCACACACTCACACACTCACACACTCACACTCTTATGGTTTATTATGACTTATGTTTGTAGTCTTCTCAAAGGTTTGTTTACACGCAGTGTTAAGCGCGTTTCCATGCATCTGAACTAACCTTCCTGGTGTTCATCCCTTAGAATTTGAATTTCGCAGCAAAGATATCTCTTTTTATGTAATTAAATTTTTAAATATCTTAGGTCTGATGGAAAATCACTGGACGAAAGAGTAATTGTTAATGTAAGTAACTTCTCTGTTTAAGCGATGTAAGCTACTGCTGTTCAATCAAGTTTGACATAGTGACTTACCCCTTCAGGTAGCGGCGATTTTAATCCTAAAAAGCTTTGTATCAGTGGAGCAATTAATCACTGTGCAATAGCATCTCCAAACCCAAACCTAATTTTAGATTTGTGTCTTTTAATTTAAACACTAACACCATTGACTTTATCTTTTCAAATTTTTTCACAGTCATTGCCAATTAAATTATCATAGATTGTGTGTTCACGGTTTAGAGAACGCTGCGTTCATGCCTACATGCCATCTGTACTATCCAAAGCTTTTAAAGCCGGAACGGTAGTTGTCTTTGTTAGAGGTTCTCTTCAGATACATTGTATAACTGATGACAAAGAAGAAGCAAAAGGCATTCCACTTGGAGCTCCTAGAATATCAACAGTTTATTTGTATCTTTCTTCACGGTGACTTCTCAACGATATTATGAACGCGGTTGTTCGAGTAGTACGCCACAGCTTAACAAATAGAAAGTTTGATACGAACTTAGGTGACATTTAGTTCGCTTTTTTAAAATTAATTCCCAAAGGTAGTTGTACTAAGTAAATTTTCATTGATGATCATTAAATTTCCAAAGACACGATGGTCTGTAAGCTTTGAGAAAATGAAATTACGTTCATGTTACTATGAGGATGCTATTGCATGGTAACCGTACAGGTGAAGGATGGACTGCCGATTCCTATGTTTGTCTTAGGTCAGTTTAAATACATACGTTTTTTTAACGTCAGTTATTTAGATAAATTGTGAGTGAAGCTGTTGTTTATTATTACGTTTCTTCTTTAAAAAAGACTGAGCTTGAAATGAGGGATCCTTCTCAAAGCCAGCAGTACCTGGCATTGGACGAGAGGGCTCGACACACTAAACCAGTCAGAGAATATGCCTCTCTCAATCCACGTACACGGTATTGGGAGATTCCTACAGAGCACGTGACCATAGAAAAGATCATTGGTAAAGGTGCTTTTGGTCAGGTTGCTAAAGCAACAGTCATCGGCCTCCACGGAAGACTAAAGAAGACAGTTGTGGCTGCTAAGATGTTGAAAGGTATCAAGTACTTAAAAAAGTTCTACCTTTATGTAAAGTTCCTGAATAAACATCCCCTTCCTTTTACCCCTCCCCCTAAAAAAAAGTAGCGTTTTGGAAGTAGCAGGTCAAGCGCAACCTCCCCGCATCTCAAATGGGGAGACTAAGGTCATTTTAGTGTTAACTTTTTTCTTTAATCAGTAATCAAGTAAACATGACATCATTAGGTTGACTACGATAACCTAAGCACTTTACAACAAGGTATCACTTGTGGAATTTCCTTCCAAATGAAACCGATAATCTACCATCATTTCTCAAAGAGCTTTTCGTCAGAGATATATATATTTTTTTGATGTTAGTAATAAATACCGCTCACTGCATTTGTTGTTGAAAACTTGTGGTAATTAAATTCAATATCATTGAAAGATATTAGACTATAGCCTTATTGGGATGGCAGTGGCATTAAGGGTTTTGTCATTGTCTTTGTGTACCGTAGAGTATAAACAAAACGTTTTGGCTGCACTCAAATTGTTTGCCCATCTTAGTCCGTCTTGCTCTGCTTTTCACAAGCTCCATAGAAGTTTTATTTGTCATAGCATATTTTGTAAGATATTTTAATCTTACTTCTGACCTGATTATTCCAAAACAGGATGCTTAACCCCCGTGTTACACAGAGCTCAGTATTAGATAGGTCTTATGCTACTTACTTTGTTTCAGTTACTGTGATTGCTTGTAAAGGTAACAGCTTTTGGGTTATCATCTTGCAGCTGACGCTTCTGCATTAGAGAAGAAGGACTTAATGTCCGAACTTGACTTGATGAAGCAACTGGAACCTCATCCTCATGTCATCAAACTGCTGGGATGTGTTACGAAATCCGGTAAATATTTAAACAGATACTTAAATAGCCAATGGTATTCTCTTCGTTCATACATCAACATCTTCAGAGATTTCCCTTTAACAGCCAAAGCTTTTCTGCTTTGGAAACGCAGAATTGGGGTGACTTTTCAGATGAACCTTTCCACTCGGCTCTTAGTAATGCTGTGTAATCTTCAGTTACTGACCTCCAGTTACCAGATATGGCTGTGGGTTTACTAATGCTAAGCGGTGTTTCTTCTCGTCGTCAAATATATACCTTGGTTTCTCTGAATGAGTGAAGATACCTCTATCTTGCAATAGGGTCATTAATGGTATTGATTGAATATGTGCCGTATGGAGATCTGCTGGGATACCTGAGAAGGAGCCGTGGATTAAATGACACTTACTACAAGGACCCGGATATCAAACCACAAACAAATCTGACGCCACGGCAGCTAATGAAGTTTGCGTGGCAAATTGGTGATGGAATGTCGTATTTGTCATCGATACCAGTAAGTAGGCACTATGAGCTGGTTATTGAAATAAAGCTGAGCTGTTTGTCAAACCTGCGTTCTAAACAATCTTCAGTCTAGCTGATTCTTATATCAAAAGATTTATTTTGTGAACAGTGTCAAGAAAGCCTAAATCAACCCCCTTATAGAGAAATTATTTGGCCCACTGACTAAGTAAAACCGTGGTTTAGGTTAGATCCCATGTATATAAGGGGCCCTATATATTTAGTTGGAAAACTAAAAGATTGCCGTATGGTCCTTAAATTGGACCTAGGCTAACCTTTCCTTTTTTTTTTTTTTCTTGTTTTCTCTCAATTCTCCTCTTTCCTCCTAACTCGTTCCAACATCAATAATTTCCTATGATATGTCGTAGATTATCCACCGAGACCTTGCAGCTCGAAATGTGTTGGTTGGAGAGGGGGAAACGTGCAAAGTAACAGACTTTGGTATGGCGAGAGATGTCCTGGAAGACAACATTTATCAACGGAAGTCTAAGGTACCAAGCAATTATAAGCAGGCTATTATGTATGATGATCTGTAGTCTTAACTTTCAAAAAGTCATGGGCTCTCTTGGCTTCCTTCCCAACACACTGACTCACCGTTAGAATAAGTTCACTTGTGCTGTCTACTAATAGAGAAGTCATATTTGCTTGTGATCTTTTCTTCAGTTCTTCCAACCAATTCTATGTGTTTTAATTTAGGGACGTCTCCCTGTAAAATGGACTGCCATTGAGGCGCTGCTGTACGGCAAATATTCTACAAAAAGTGATGTGTGAGTACGAGGACCACTCGCGGTCCCTAATAAAATTGTGGGAAACGTTATTGGATGTCTTCTGTATTTTTAGGCATTGATGATTTTTTTTGAGTTGTTTAGTTTATGTAGAATCATCTCGTAAGAAAGGTTGATAATAGCAGTTCTGGCTTTGAGCTCTGAGTATTGGNTATGAAATTGAATCAATTCCAGGGACCAAATCTTATGATGAGAATTAAGCTGGCTCGATCATGAGCCCATTTTCAACATAAGATTCTAAATATAATGTCAGGTGTACAGTTTTTAAATGGCCCTGATGGCTGATAGAATTATTTTTTACATGCAGTTTGTCTTCTTCTTTACCTGCAGTCATTGGAGGAAATGAAATTAACATAACCATTGTTATTACCAGTGAAAGTTGTACTGATGGGAAATACAACCAACAATCCTCATTGCTGGCAAAACTTGAGGAAGTGGTAAACATTGTTATCATTCAGTATGGCAGTATTTTATTTCTTTTATTCTCCTTAAGTACCTATCATTCTTGCTGGCATAGTATAATATTACATGTAAATGGACATAAATTATACGACTACAATATTTTTTGTTTTTTTTTAAATGATTGTTGGCTACTAATTTGAAAATATAGGGATATGTAGAAACTGATTGAAATTTTTCATGTGCTTATAAATTGATACAATTTAGTTTAATTTAAGGTCACTTAAACATTCCAACTGAGCCTGCATGTGCAGCACCCATATAAAGTAGTTATTGGAAAAAATAATGACAAGCTGGCAATATCATATTCTTCAGTGAAAAACAAATTAAGATATTACGTGTTAATATCTTATATTGCATGCTCGTGTTCAAGGTCCTGAACTTGATCTAAATTACTTGTATTTTGATCTCATGTTCATTTGCACTGTTCTATTGGTTCTTGTAAAGATGAAAGTGGTTTTTATTGGTAGACCTGGTTATAGAAGTATGGAGTTGAAAAGAGGAGTCAGGTTTGTAATTACCATGTAATTCTTGAGTTTCTAAGTTGTAGTTTTCTAATTTCTAATGCATTCCCTTTATTTTGATCCTGATCATCTTATGTCTTTATCAAGGTGTGGTAGTGTAACTGTTGACCTAGCACTGATATTTGATTCCACAACAAGAGAGGGAGATGTTATTACATTTCTTTGGAATGCTGCCAAAGATGGGAAGCTTGGACAGTTCAATGTAAGTGCTATAAAAAGAACGAGATCTCTGGTTGATTTCAAAATTGGAACAACTGCAGCAGGCATGGTGGTGTCACCTGGCAGTTCAACTGATTGTAAGTTCTCTATTTTTTGCTATCTTCCTACATGTACTCTTTAATTTATACCAATTTTTTTGGTATAATTATATCAATTCACTAGAGGTAAGATTTCAGAGAAATCTCAATCCTCGATATGCTCTTCAATGGAAAGTAAAGCACAGTTGAAATGGGATTTAATTACAATTGACAGAAACAAAAGCTCGGTATATATTGAACGTTTATTTTTAGCAATGATGTGAAATATCCTTGTTGTGTATTGTATCCATGCTCATGTAATTGGTTTTAATGTATAATCAAATCTTTGAAAATCTGTATGAATGAACTTTTACATTATACTTTGTGATTCAGTATAACGTCAGTACCACAGTTAAAGGCTGCAGGGTTAAGACAGGGATGAGCATAACGTGAAAAAGAAAATAATAATAATTATAATAGTATTAACAATAAATGACATTAATACTGGTAATAAAACTGGTAATTTAATCCCTGATGATGCCGTTAATCGGCGAAAGCTTGGGTTTTAAATTTTAATTTTTAGACAGCAGTTTAAGGACTCTTTGGAACATTTTGTATGTTACTGATGATAATGATAATCCCTTTTAATAATTTATAATAATATTATAGTGGGATTTAGCTGTGGACATTCCACGAGGTGGTTCTTCTTGTCCACTTTTTCATGCTCGAATGCAATTTAGAATGTTGCTTTTCGTGGAAGGGGGAAAACGCTCGGAGCAGGAGCGAGAGTCAAAAACAAACTTAACCAACATATGTGACGCCAGGTGCAGCTGAAAGCGAACGTGGACCCCAGCGACGAGGGGCGACCGCTCTTACCTGACTGCACCATCCCCGCTCCCTATTCTAATGTGGAAATCGAAATCTCATGTTATTGGGTAATCATGGCCATCAATTATAAAAACGGTTGGTGTGTAGATAAAGTGTCGTGAAACGGTAGAGCGGAGGATTTCCGAAATTCAGTTTGTGGTCATATATCTGTCATAATTATGTTGTTCTGCTCATTTTTCCAGGGACTATTGTTGGTGCAGCACTTGGATCAGTTGCGGCACTTTCTATTGCTGTGGGAATATTT